CATACTCAACTGTTTACGAGTACCAAGTACTGGTATGTCTTGCATACTCAACTGTTTACGAGTACCAAGTACTGGTATGTCTTGCATACTCAACTGTTTACGAGTACCAAGTACTGGTATGTCTTGCATACTCAACTGTTTACAATACCAAGTACTGGTATTTCTTGCATACTGAACTGTTTATGAGTACCAAGTATTGGTATTTCTTGCATACTCAACTGTTTACGAGTGCTGGTATTTCTTCCTGCTATTAGCTAATACCGTACACTTTGCACAAAATGACTTTTGGTCTTGGAAGAACAAATATTATTAGTTTCCAATAGATTTTTGACTGAACAATTCATAAAAAACTGTCATACTGTCTGCCCATGAAAGATAATAAAATACTTGTGTTTCCGGTCATCGTTTTGGTACCAGACAGCTAAAATAAGGAAGTTTTGTCCAAATAAAAGAACAATTTATACATTTAATATTACCCGAATGTATTTTTTTAAACATACTTCAGTTACAAAATGAAGTAGCACGGTTGTATAAAATAATAAAAACAAAATAGGAACATTTTTAATACCAGCTCATATTTCCTTTCCCAATAAACAGACCAGGCAAAAAGATGTTGACCAAGGGTCAGCAGAACAAACAGAAAAATGGATAATTCCCATAACCCCATTTTTCTGACTCGTCTATAGTAATAAACTGGTTGTCTCCAATCGGGTAAGCCATTCTGCAAGATAAGGTCATATCTAGAAAAATAGAATTCAATATATTAATAAAGGCATGTGAAAAATGTCATTCGGAGTTAGCATAAATGATTAATATGAGGGAGAAAAGAAAACAAGTTAATAATGATACTAAAAAAACATTGTATCGAGAAATGATCACCTGATTAATGTAAGGATTAGAATTTTGTGAAAACATCTTCCAATTACACATAGTTCAACCAAGAGACAAAAAATACTGTAGTTTGTGCTTTTTATCAATTTTACACAAGAAAATGTTAAATGTAACATTCCAAAGACCAGAAGAAAGCCTAAAACAACGATATGTACTAGTAAACATAGGAATATTTTGTTTAACTGGGGAGTCACAGGGGTGGGTATCTCAATTTGATAAGTTTTACCAACCCAGTAATACCATGAAACCTAGCAATATCAGCCCGCTAAACTAACCATTTGATAAACATGCTTGATACTTAAATTTGAAATGTTTCCTTATCCAGAAATCGTTTATAATGAGCACTAAAATTGGGATTTATCTCAGACGTAGAGTGACTGTACTGTGGACATGAAACATAAAACCCTCTGTAATCTTACAGAAAATTTCATCATCTGTGTTTCTTTAGTTTTACCACCCAGAAACATTAAACTTAGCTCTTCAAAAATACCATTTATCAGCTCAGTTTTTGAGTTTCAAGACTGAATTACCAAATCCTAACCAGTCCTGAACACTGGTTTTATTGAACTATTTGATAATTTTTATCATTACTTCCTTATCAACATTTTGTTAAGAGGAGAGAAATATATTCCCAGTAAAATCCTAAAAAATAACTCCACTAAATTTTCTTATTAAATCTTAAGTTTTAAGTGTACATACTCATAATAACATTGAAAAAATAATACAAGATTTAGTTCTACTTATCAGTTTCTTTTTGCTTCAAACTCGTTCCTTCAAGTTTCAAATACATGTATATTTACAAAACAGTGAATGGAAAAGGAGAAATACGTGCTTTTATCTTGTTCATAGTTTAAAGAAAAACTGTAAACCTGTTGTAATTTTTATTTTTGAATTACTGTTGTAAAAGTTAAAAGAACATTTACCTTTAGTCTGAAATATAATATTTCAGCAAATAAACACTCAATCATCTCAAAATACCTATATTTAAATAATTATGGTATTATTTAATCAAATGCTCTTTAATTATCTTTGGAGCCTAAATACTCACTTCTTACGTTTCTCTTCATCCCTGAGAACCTCGGAAACTGCTACAAGCTAAAATAAAAACAAATCTACATTGAAAGATTTATACATGTGTGTGTGTGACTGCTACAAGCTAAAATAAAAACAAATCTACGTTGAAAGATTTATACGTGTGTGTGTGTTACTGCTACAAGCTAAAATAAAAACAAATCTACGTTGAAAGATTTATACGTGTGTGTGTGTTACTGCTACAAGCTAAAATAAAAA